ACCCTTCAGGGTATACCCTCAACCCTCTCTCGATAGTTAAAGGGGCCCTGCAAGGATTTTTTATTGTTTTTTAATTTGCACCGAACCTGAGCGCACTGAACGTAGTAATTTAGTGAAACTTTTCTTTTCGCGAAATTCGCTTTCTTTTAAAAGTTATAAGCAATTTAGAATTACAAAAACGAGCAAAAAATAACCTCCTTCATGACGTCGTAGGTCCTGGCTTGAGTGGCCGTGAACTAGAGGAGGAATAGTGAGCTCATCGAGCGCTCACGGCCGCCTCACTCTGTGTCGACGGCGCCAGAGGGCGCCACTAAAGCATGTTCTGGATAGGCTGTATGCTGCAGGCAGCCAAAGCGGCTTTCATTGCGTTTGCTGCGTGATTAAACGCTAATTCGGCATGACACTTCATTGGCCACAAACGACAGCAAACACGGGTTAAAGATCAGTTCAGAATGGGAGCCACTTCGCGCTGCCATACTGCGAAATGGCCAAACCACAAGACAAAGCCTCTCGCTGAAGGCCTTCGGAACGCTCGGAGCCGGTCGGATCCTCCTGTCCATATGACTGCAGCGTCACCGCGTACATCCGGGACCTTTCCGTGCCGGCGCCTTATCCCACTACTCCTTTCTAGTATGCGCCGCCTTTTCCACCGCTTGGCGGCGGGTATGGCGGCGGGTCATTTCTCGTTTCCGTACTTTATAAACTGCATTTCTTTCTTTTTTTCATCTATAATAGTAAACAAAAACTACTTTTATAAATAATTGAAACGGTTCGCGCCACTTATATTTTGTATTTCGACCAAAAAGAAGTTTTTATTGGCTCTGACCAGTAGTAAGCCCAGGACCAAAGACGTCACATTTTGCGCGCCTTCGGTACCGCGGGTCGCCCTCGTCGGTGGAGGAGGTTTCCGCGTCGTCCGGTTAAAATATGGCGCACTGATATTTAGCTACTCTTTCCGTGCCCGCTGGCTTGCTCGAACCCCAAGAGACGTGGAAACCGCATAAAAGGTAGACGCTTAAATATGATTGCAGGGCCCCTTTAAGTCCAATCATTGTTAGTAACAACCCAGTAGATTTCCGAAAGTCGTAGAGAAGGTAAGACAGTCATTGCAAGAAGTTGACATCAGTGTTCGGTGCCTGAACGCTTGTCCTTGACTCCACTGCTCTGTCTGTGGGAGGAGCGATGAGAAAAGCAGCTATCCTTTACGTCAGCCCACTAGGACTCCAACAACAGCTCGGTGCTTTGACGCCATCGCACCCTCTGCAGGAAAAGCAGAGGCCGACACACCTCCTGATAATCATCCTTCAGGTTGCAAGCAAAAAAAGGAGCAAATGTGGGTAATAGGAAAAAAAAAAAAAAGGTTTGCCAGGAAATAACTTTTTATCTAAATTTCATTTCTTATTAAACAGGTATTTCATTCAATTTGTGTGCAAGTTTCGTTATTTCACACTTACACACCTTTTCTGCAAATCTTATAAACTCTTGTTTGTGGATGTAAATTTTTTTTAAACACACAAAATGTTCATTCAGAAAACCGTGCCCCGCCATTTTCATCTAAGAACTATACAGGCACACTTGGCCACTTGTTAAAAGAAGCACATGAAGGGGCTTTTTTTTCTACCATATTTGAACAAGGGGCAATTTATACCTTTAACTGTACTTTATTAAGGAGCATGGACAACAACACAACCCCTCTTTCCGCTAAGAAGCAAAAGTACTACAGTCAACTTGTGTTGATTTAACTTCGGTTAATTCAACTTAACGATTAATTTGACCTTGCTCAAAGAGTGGCAAAAGCCCATATATTTCTAGAGATGAAAAAAAAAAAAAAAAGCCGTTTACAACACCCTGTAACGCAGAATTAGAGCGCAGCTCTTGAGGAGGAGGGAAGGGTACTGAGGATCACATGTTCTTGGGGGGGGGGGGGGGGGTCATGTGGCCTCGGGGGGGGGGGGGGGGGGGGGGTCACGTGACCTCAAGGTTACGCCGACAGCAATGCCGCTCAAGCCGGAAACTGGCACCTAAGAGCTGCGCTCTAACACTTATTATTTCGATCTTGGAATACCAAATATTGGTTAATTTTACCTAGAGAGCAGTGGCCAAATTACAAGTCTGACTGGCTATGCGTGACGCACAAAAACAGGCCTTTTTGCCCCGAATTACGTGGTGGGCAAGTTACCTAACAGCACGACTGGCAGTGCCCATCGGCGACAAAACCAGTTTTTCAAATTTTGAATCGCGCGCCGAATTGGGGAGAGTGAGAAAAAGAGCACATGTTGAGACACAGGACACGGCCAGGTCTCCACACAAAGCAACCATTGCAACACCGATGCAGAGCAGAGGGGTTGCAATGGCGCCAGTGCCGGCAGCACCGGCCACCGCTTACCGCCGCCGACACCGAATGCGTGAAGGACATACACGGCCGCTGCTATTGCCGGGCAGCGGTGTGAGGTGGCTCATTATAAAAACGTTAGCCCACCTGATCTAAAGTGCTGGATATTCAGAATTTCCCGCACATCTTTTAATTAGACTTTTGGATAATTTGACCCAGTTTCACGTGTCCCATCAAGGTTGAATGAACGGAAGTCGACTGTACGATCCAAATTGAAAACCGAACAGTGGCTTTTGTCGTGACCCAGATGCAGAACGACACGTTGTCCTGACCGAACTTTGAAGAGATAAGCGATCCCTCTTATGGCAATGATGTGAGATTTGAAGGAAAATTGAAGTGGTAAAGAAATGTGAAATGAAGTGGTAAAGAAATGTGTAAAGTTTTCGACCTTCAAGTTTTAAAACACCGAACATCACAGACATTTGTCACAGCCAAAGCAGAGGAACACTGCACAGCGTTGCCAACAAGAGGCACCCCTGTGCACGCACCGAATCAAAACTACCCCAAAAGTCGCGAACTACAGTCGCATGCAGTTTAAGCATGGGACGTGGCCCATTATGTTCGTGCTTCTCGCTTCGTGATTTGTTCTTAAGAGCTGTTATCGATTAATGCCACCTTCCATTGGCCAAGGAGCGATAACGAGATGCTCGAGACAAGACACGCCCTGCGTGACGTCAGTGACTACAGAATTATTGCCAATATGTATCCTCTAGCTGACAAGTTTCGACACACCCAACAACTGAATGACTAGACTGGACAACCTGGCCGAGTTTCCCACCACCAGGTCTGAGCATAATCTCAAAAAGATTACGCTCGAGGTGAGCGTAATCTAAAAAAATGGGTCGCTTCAATCAATGCTCAGCGTATTTCGGTTCACGAGAGTGTCTCATGGATCTCCGAGACACACGGAAGACGAGGAATTCAATGTTCCGATGCCAGACGGTGACTCTGTTTGTGCGTTGCGTGCTAAAGTTGGCTTGCATGTTGGTGTTTGAGTGTGCTTAAAGACATTGCATTCTCGTGTAACTGCTGAACACACTGACAAGATGGAACCATCTATTGGGGCAGACCAGGAACGCTTCCAACCTGTGTGCTATAACTATATAGTCGGTGATGTAGTATTTTAGTTATAATTGTTGTTTGTAGGGGGCACCACTCGCCCTGCACTTTCAGCCACCTTGAGCAACAGCAATTATAACTAGGATACTACACGTGACAGGCCTCCAGAATGCACTTGTTGCCTTCCACCAGCATATGGCTGCATGTGTGACAATGTGTCATCGAAGTGAGGTAGCTCGTGCTCGAGGCGGAGCATCCACAGGGGTCTGATTATGGTCACCGCGAGCAGAGAGCGAGATCTAATTTGCCTCTCGCGGAGAAAGAGTTAGCGTTCGTAGAGGGTTCATCTACTAACGTGAGCAAAGAATGCGGTTAGGCTGCTACATAGCGTTGTTTGCGGACAGAAAAAAAACGAGAAAACACGGTATGGGCGTCTGATAACGGACTGAAAAAAAGTCTGTTGTCTGCTGCGCACCGGACACTGCGGCGGAGCGAGATCGGACGAGGGCCGAAATCGAGACTGTCTGCTATTTCACGTCGAAAGCCATAACCAACTTACGCTTCTTTTGAAGACTTCAAGTTGTTTTGTTGCTGTTCAGAAGCTCACGACGACCAGTAGATGAACAAGTACTGCTAAGGCCAAGCACGTCAGAGGCCGCAAGACCTTTCACACTATTTGGGAGTTGGTGAGACTGTCTTGCCAAAATTTTGCACAATTCTGAACTCGTGCAAGGGTCAAAAAAATTTTTATTGGTCGATTCCACGCAAGTTGCAGCACCACGTCCAATCAGAAATCGAGAACTCTCTCTTTCTCGCCTTGACCAAAATCACACCCCTTGTTGATCTCTCCGACCATGGGCTGAAGGTTTTGCGGTATTTGCCGCATCAACTGTCTCCGAGAAAGAAATACTTACAACATTGTTGGAATTTTTTCAAGCCCAAGGTAAAGGAACGACACATAAAAAATGATAAAAGCATATAGGCGGGTCAGAAATGTTCGAGGGCTGCCCAGAAGATGGCTCCGGCAAATACTTTACTAGTATTTTTCAAGGGGAGCGGTCCGCTCCCCTTGAACACCATAAGCTAGGCGCAGACAGGATCTGGGACGTTTGAATGGCTTGGTGTGTCGCAGCATCGTGATTTTTCTCCTGTAATAGGCTGGTAACCAAAGCCATCTCTGGGGTCGGCGTCTCTGCTATCCGCCGCATAGTTGGTACGCGCGCTGTTCAGTCGTGGCGTTCCTGACAATTTCTTTTTAGTGTAAAAGAAACTTTAAAATTAGCTTTTATTGAATTACCACGTACATATATGCAGCGTGCGCTTAATGTCTTGTTCAGTTCTACCAACTCTGAATTAGGCACGACACATGCTACTCACAGGCAACTTGTAACAGACCCGATAAGCGGGCATAACAGTAAAATACCTGAGCAGGCTTTCGATATTTCGTAAAGCAGCTTCGAAGCTGCCGGAGACGTTAATTACTGCAAGGGTGTTGACGAGTTTGATTAGCCGTAATCACGCCTCACGTTGGTGCTAACCTGGCTACACTCATGTCGTGTGCTTTTTGTTTACATCGGTGTTATATCGCATCGTGGTTGCCATTCACGTCCACGTTCCCCGGCTCTCTCAAATCGGGGTTGCTGGGCGGCCCCGTGGTCCGGAGGGAGAGGTATATGGAGACAACGCGGCCAGAAAGAGCGGAAAGAAGTCGGCGGCCGGAGCGGCCAAGCCACGATGAAGGCTTCAATGCCGCCGTTGCTCCATCTAATGCAAGCGAGCAGAGTGGCCCGTATTCCCCCAGTGATGTATTCGGCTTCAGTGCATTAAGCGGCCACGAGAGAATGCGACAGGCTCAATTGCGCGCAAATGCCAACGTGTGAAGCAGCCTTTAGGGAATCGCATATTGCATGCCGGGACATTGTGGCACGTGCACTGCATGAAACGGCAGTGTGTGCACTGCACACGGCGTCGATTTCGGGCGAAACTCGGAGCGCGCTTTCAGGCACGTTTCTCCAACGAGGAGGCGTCGTCGTTCGAGGAAGCGGCGCCGTGCCCCGGATCGTCATTGATCGAAGGAATCAATGGATCCGTGTCCGGAACCACTTCGGTTTGCGGGTGGGCCCATGGTTGCACCTTGGCCGTACCAAAGATGAGGAAAACCACGCCTCCAAACAGGTTGATGGCGGCCGACACGTAGAAGACAGTGTCCCACCGCTCCAGACTCTCCTGCGTGATGGGACCCCGGATTGGCACTCCGAAGAAACCTACGTCTTGGTTTCGGGTACAGTATACGAAGCCTTTCAGGCTTACTATGATTTCAGAGCCCCAAGGAACTACCGTATTTTCCAGAATATGTGGAACGAAAGTTTGTCTGCTTTTTACATGGATTGCGGTGATGTCTGAACTCCAAGCTCTCATTGGCTGATTGAAAAAAAGATACAGTGTAGACCGCATATAACGTATGTCTCGGGAGTCGCGAAAATCCGCACTATAAGCGGTACCGCACTATAACCAAAACTTCAATTTTTCAAGCCAAAATACATGCCATGAGACAACTTACCTTTGTAAAATAATTTATTTTATGTTAGATGAAAAAATAAGCTTAGTTTGAGGAAAGTCTTTATTTCAATAGACTAGTACAGTTATGTCTCAAGTGTGTCACACATTTTAAAAGAAATTAGCGGCTTTTGCCTGGCGCAGCCTTTTAACGGCGTCGTGGGTTGCGGACGGACGTTGCGAGCGTTCAGGATTGCTAACCCTAATCACTTTTCTCCGGAGATGAAAACGCGTGAAAATTCGCATCCTTCATACGGTACGCGCCAGTAATACCTTGAACTTGAGCACACGCATGAAATGCGCCAAATAAGAAATCCGGGCGATGTTCGAGGACACAAATGCTTAGAAATCACCACTGTAGTCGAAGTAAACAAACACGACAACATGGGCGTTTCTGCCGTCTTGAGAGCGCCGCCACGACATCGCCGCACGAGTAGGTGGATCTTTCCTTCTAGTACGTGCTGGGTTATCATAGCGACACACAACGAAAATTCAGAGTCAAGGATAGCGCTTTTACGCAGAACGATAAGATGCACGCCGTCTACGACGATGATCACAACCGACGCCATGTTTGTGGAATAGAAGCAGCCGGCCCGCGACCGGAGGAGGAGGAGAAGCGTTGTAATAGAGGTTGGGGGGAAAGGGGAGAGGCGCAAACACTTCTTCTCGACCTGCGATTGGTCTGTCGTTGCGGTTGTTTGTTTCTTTGTTTCCAACGCAGCGGAGGGACGAACACACGTGAACGACTCGTGCGTGCGTCCCTCCGTCGCTATGGCAACTGAAGCCTCTCTCTTCGCTTCTCCCCGCGTTTTCGAGCAACCTCCTTGCCCCGCGAGTGCAGTTTGCGGCTCGCGCCGTCAGCGCCGTTATCTAGAGTCGCACAGGGAAGCGAGCTCGCTGCTCCGGTCGTCGGCGCGGTCGGCGGGCTGTGCCAAAAACCGCACTATAACCGGTATTTCCCTTCGCGCGCCTGCATTTTAAGCGGTATGTAATTACATGGAGTTCTATGGGAGGTGAACCGGTGGTTTAAAAAAACCGCGTTATACCCGGTCCTGCACTATAAGCGGTTACGTTGTAAGTGGTCTACGCTGTAGTGGGTAGACCTCAAGCCATCTAGCATTGAGGTCTACCCACTACCCTTTCAATCAAAGCCAATCGGAGCACAGCGTCGTTCTGACGTCACCGCAACCCCTGCGCAAGATCTAGACGACTTGCTCGCTGCATAGTCGGCGGACTATAGTGAGGGCTTCAAAGAATAAAAGTGAAGCATAATAAATTTTTTTTTTTTCTATGCACAAAGAAGAAGGCCATCCGGTCTTCCTCCCTGTGCAAATTTATCATACTCAAATTTCACAAGTGTGAGTTTCAAGCAAGAAAACTTAAGGCACATAGAAGAAGACCGTCCGGTCTTCCTCTCTGTGCGAATTCATCATACTGAAATTTCATGAGTGTGAGTTTCAAGCAAAAAAACTTAAGCTTAAAAAATGAATTTTTTTCCCCCTATGTACAGGGAGAAAAATACGTAGTAAAAACAGTCCATCTATGCTCCTGCTCAAAGATGACACCACATAAAGCAAAAATGTGCTCTAAGCTAAACAGCCTAAAGCAGAGATCTGAGCGTGTGTGATACCATCTGTGAGCAGCGGCGTCGACCGGACGGTTTTTACCATTTTGCTCCCTGTGCAAAAGAAAAAAAAACAGAATATTTTAGGATTAAGTTTTTTTGCTTGAAACTCACACTCATGAAATTTAACTATGATAAATTCACCACCTAAAAATACCTCTGTGAAGAGTTTTGATGCACTGCAGTTAGTAGTTTACTCGTGCAATTTTTTTGACTCGAATAGCACTCGGAAGTACCCTGTACGGTGCAGACTGTACGAGGATTTCTTTTTCCAAGATAGCTCAGTGCAATGAGATACAAAGACATTTTTGTGAATGACAGGTGACGATTTCTGCATGATACAAGCTTCTGTACGTCCTAATAGAGTGGGCATTTTTCAAGGTGCGCTTTATATGAGGAGTTTTCTGAGATATGGACTGTGCACTCATACGCTTGCACAGAGGAGGAGGGGGCAAGCGTGCTTTGGCACATCCTAATGCCTCTGGAGGGGTGAAAATTCAGAAAGGTGTATTTTTGTTGTGTTACACAACAAAAGTAGCACCTTACTAAATTTGCACCCCTCTTAAGCCATTAGGGGGTGTCATAGCATGCTTCACCCCCCCCAATCGCTCCGGTAGGGTGCAAATTCAGCAAGATTCTATTTTTGTTGTAAGAAAAATAGAACCTTGCTGAACTTGCAACTCTCCGGAGCCATTAGGGCAGGCGGGGGTGCCATAGCATGTTTGCGCCCCCCCCCCCCCCCCCCCCAATGGCTCCGGAGGGGCACAAATTCAGCAAGGTTATATTTATGTTCCATTATACAAAAAAATGGAGCCTTTCCAAATTTGCACTCTTCTCGAATCACTGGGGGAGTCATGGCATGCTTGCCCCCCCCCATCGTGCACACCTGTGCAAGCACCGGATGCGCACCATGTGTCGACTAAAACGTTTGTTTTAGAGCGCAGCTCTTAGGGGCCCGTTTCCGGCTTGAGCGGCGTCGCCGTCGGCGTCGGCGTCGGCGTAACCGCGCGGTGCATCATGGGAAATGTCCCATAATGCACCGCGCGAGCCCCCCACCGGGGTCCCGTGACTTCGTGGGGGGCACGTGACCCCCCGAGGTCACGTGACCCCCGAAGTCACGTGACTCTCCTGAAGTCACGTGACTCCCCTGAGGTCACGTGACTCCCCTGAGGTCACGTGACTCCCCTGAGGTCACGTGACCCCCTCCTCGAGGTCACGTGACCCCCCGAGGTCACGTGACCCCCGCCGATGTCGCGGGATCCCCCGATGACGTCATCGACACTGATGACGTCACCGGCATCCACATAGTCATCGTCATCATCACTGATGACGTCATCATCAGTGATGATGACGATGACGATGCGGATGCCGGTGACGTCATCAGTGATGATGACGATGACGATGTGGATGCCGGTAACGTCATCAGTGACGATGACGATGTGGATGCCGGTGACGTCATCAGTGATAATGACGATGACGATGTGGATGCCGGTGACGTCATCAGTGATGATGACGTCATCAGTGATGATGACGATGACGATGCGGATGCCGGTGACGTCATCAGTGATGATGACGATGACGATGTGGATGCCGGTGACGTCATCAGTGATGACGATGACGATGTGGATGCCGGTGACGTCATCAGTGATGATGACGATGACGATGTGGATGCCGGTGACGTTACCAACATCCGCATCGTCATCGTCATCATCACTGATGACGTCATCAGTGACGTCACTGATGTCGTCACCGGCATCCGCATCGTCATCGTCATCATCACTGATGACGTCGTCAGCGACGTCACTGATGACGTCACCGACGTTCGCATCGTAATTGTCATCATCACTGGTGAAGTCATCAGTGACGTCACTAATGACGTCATCGGTAGCCGCATCGTCATCGTCACTGATGACATCATCAGTGACGTCAGTGATGACATCATCGGCATTGGGGTCACGTGACCCCCAAGGTCACGTGACCCCCCAAGGTCAAGTGATCCCCCCCCCTGGTTAGTCTAACCCCCCCCCCAGTGCCCTTCCCTCCTCCTCCTCAAGAGCTGCGCTCTAATTCGGCGTTACAGGGAGTTGTAAGCGGCTTTCACTTTTTTTGTTGAAATTTTCTAATGCAGATTGTGGCCTGGAAAATATGACATGCGCCAATATGCCCGCAACAAAATGAAAGATTTTTTGTTCGCATTTGTCTCTCCCTCCCTCCCTCCCTCCCAAGTGAACGTACAAATTTTGTACTCTAGCATAACTTTGTGCAAGATAGGAGTGAAAAATAATAAAAGACTCACATTGTTTTCTGTCAGGTAGCCCACAAGCATTGGGGCAAATATCCCGGCCGTGCTAGCAACGGTGTTCACGAGTCCCATCACAGAACCTGCAGGATGTACCGCAAGTAGGAGAGAGTCACTAGGATAAACGGTTAGAAAACCTCAAACACCGCCATAAAGCCTAGAAAAAGCTGCCACAAATGGCTCCCTGTTGGGTCTACAAAATGACACTAAATAATTATTTGCAGCCTATCTTCTATTGTCTCTATTGCCTTCCAGAAGAGTTACTTTCCAATTCCAAAAGTGTTACCGTCTACGGGTAACTTCTGTGTGGCTTTAGAAGAAAATCAATGCCTACCATACGTAAAATCCCATAGGAACGCCCACCCATATTGAAGCGATAAATGGTAAAGTATATCAGGTGGGCGATCTCTGGGGACGAGACAGCAAGACAGCAAAAGTTTGTAAAAAAAATGACTGCTACACACTATGGCACTTCCTATCAGCCACATGACACGAGAACTGGTAACGCAGATCATGGTCAGGGCAGAATCGCATTTCACGGTGTCATTAAGACGCGGGAACTCTATACAAATTCCTGTGTCACAGGAGCTGACGCTGCAATCCCCGACGCAGTAGATTCGTGTTTCACTGTGCGACGAGCACGCGGAAACCCGCTTCAAACCCGCACATCATGGGGAACAGATATCGCACGCGGACATGGCAAACTTGGGTTCCATGGTGCGACGAACGTGCGAGAACCCGCTACGAACTCGCTTGTCAAATGTACCGAAACCGCAGACAGTGCAATTTAATGCGATTCGCGCCGACATCTGCGATATCCATCGGGAATTTGGGGGTGGGCAACGTTTTGAAATTTTTGGCCTGTGGATAATTGGTCAAAAAAACGGGATGGGCCATCTCTCAGGGGACATGAATGGCATATATCGATATGCATAAAAGAATACACAATGCTGTGCCCAAAGCCTCCAAAAATACACTGAAGAGCATGTCAGTGGCGACAAAGTTCAGATGAAAGAGGTGCTTGTGTCATCCCTTGTCCCATTTATCACAAGGTCATATGATGCCACATCACGTGACCCTGTTGCACGATGTAACAGTGTCACGTGATTGTGTCGCATAATGTCAAGTCATGATGTCAAATAATAAACGGTAGTATATTCTTCACTCCCCGGGACGATTGTTTAAAGTCTTCTAAATAAATTTAAGCGACCACTCCTTAAATACTGTGTCCCACGCGTTAATAGAACTTTATAAATAAAGGTTGCTGTAGACTTTTTCTTTTTCCTTCACTTTGAAATTTTTATATACCGTAAAATACCGGGCAAGCGCCCACTCAAACTTTGGAGATAATCGAAAAAAAAATGGGGGATCGGCGCTTGCCCGGTCATCAATTTCACATATAAATGCACTGTGCGTGTTTTCTCAGATCTCACAAATTTGGTAATGGGCGCTTAATGTGGAATGGGGCGGATGCGCGGTATTCTACGGAGGACCTTTTGTATAAATGGGTCATTCCATCTCATATGTCCGAGATGCTGCGCTTGACCATTTTCAATTTTTTAAAGAAAATTCATGGTTTTTTACCCCAAGGTCTTTAAAAGGGATACTGAACCGAAATTTGGCGCGCACAAAACAAGGCTGGAGCGATAGGCAGGACGCTATAAAACCCCAAAATATCACTTACTATAAAGTGATATATCTAACGGACAGCCGTATTTTTGGAAAAGAAGTGTGTTATATAGAACACGGCCGACGAGACATGCGACGTTGCGATTCTCATTCCCTCTCCTCTTCGCTTCGTCCCCTCCAGCAGGTGAACAAAAGTGAAGAAGAGAGAAGTGAGGCCGCTTCTCAAAAAGAATTGTGACGTCACATTCCTCGCTTGATCGCGCCCTTTTTTTTCCAAAAATACAGCCATCTGTTTGAGATATCGATGTATGAGTGATGTTTTGGAGTTCGAAAGCGCCCCACTCAACGCTTCTGCAGCCTTATTTTGCAAAATCCAAATTTTGATCCAGCATCCCTTTAACCTGTTCCTATGAAATTTTCGCCGAAAAAAATCTGATTTTTACTAAATTACTGATTGATGCCTAGTTTTAAACCCATTTTAGAAGTTCAAACCACGCTCAAGCCACAAAAAAAAAAAAAAAGTTTTGTCGATCATTTTTTAGGAAAAGGTTAGTTCCTGGGGTAAAAAGCAAAAAAATTTCTTTAAAAAAATCGGAAATGGCCGAGCGCAACATTTGGGACATTTGAGATGGAACGGCTCAAAGATGTTGCAAGGAGACACTTCTTCCGGTCAGATGAGAGAAAAAACAATCCCCACTGTAGCAGCACATCCTTGCAATGTCTGCGGAATATTTCTTCACAGATTTTCCAGGTGCTCAGCTAGAGGATCGGTTAGCAAGAGATCTGTTGGAGATTTTTCAATACCGTAAAATCCCGAGAAATAGCCCACCTGAAATCAAGAGGAAATCGGGTGAAAATATGTGGTGGGCTAAGTTTCAGTGTACAATCAAGAAAAGTTGAAACCATTATATTTTTAGGTCATGCTTCCCTTCCAAGCTTGTTATCGTGGCGAGGGGCAACGAAGTAAAGATGACTGCTTCCCAGTCATCAATGATCGGCTACATCCCACGGCAGCTAACTAGCCGCATTTATGAGCCGAGGCCATCATGGATCCCAGCACTAGTATCACTAAAAGTGGGCTATCTTTCGGTGTTTAAGAAAATATATAAAATCAAGCAAAATGTAGGGGTGGGCCACCTTTCGGGAGTGGGGCATCTCTCGGGATTTTACGGTACTCTCGTAAGACGACCCGTCACCTTGTTATGTTAAATACTGCAGCATGAGGACCTCATTAAATCTTTAACTTCTTCAGTTCTTTCGCACTTCAGCATCCAAACAATTGTGACATAAACAAGTTCAAAAGTCCTGTCGAAGCGAAGTGACCGGAAGTCTCTATGGGCGCGAGAGACTGCTTCGTATGAAAAACACGGAAAGGGTCTATAGTGATTTCATTTTGATGCTGACTCCGTGGAATCGAACAAAAACTAAGAAGCTTCAATGCTTGGCGGACACAGACAGCAGCTCTGGCTTTAAGGCACGATCCTTGCCTTCTGGCAAACAAACAGCTTGCCTGCAAACTCCGGAGCCAAGTCGATCGGCAGAACGCTGTCGCAGCCGGAGTGGGCGCCGGCCAGTGAGCATGCAACAAACAGGAGTATGCACGCGAGAACAGTGTTGCAGCCTGCAGAGGCCAGGCACACGAAGATGACCGCCTGTCCCAGAAGGCCTGCAGAAAGATACAGCTTCAAGTTGACAGCACTCAGTGTGTTGCATGAAACTTTGCTTGAAATATTGGAGGCCTACAAACCCTGACGTGGTTTTAGAACACAAAAAAAATAACACAAGTCTAACCTGGGGAAAAAAAAATTTTATTTTTTTCGTAAATCTGTTTTTTTAAATGTTGCTCGTCAGCAATGTTGCGCATTTGCGGCACTACTTCACATCGGACGTGTGAAAGCGGTTGCGACCTGGGAGAAGGCATAAGTGCATTTTGAATGACGTCACGTGCGACGTCATCATGGGAAATGTCCCATAATGCACCGTGCAGTTAAGCCGACGGCGCTCAAGCCGGAAAAGGGCACCTAAGAGCTACGCTTTAAAAGCCGCTCTCATTTTGGCATCCTTGTGCCACCAAGATTTTACAATGTGGCTATTTCACGAATGAGGTCGCACGATAAAGAAACATAATGGGTAATCACTTGACGAGAGGAAGTCACTGTGACTACCAAGTGAGATGAAAGCACGTATAAACAAAATCTGCCACGTCACACTTAAAATAGTTATTTTTCAAGGCTCTTTACATGTCTGTCTGTTCACCACTGGTATAACACCAGCAAGCCGTTTACAAGACAAGCGGACTTTACTCAGGTGTGAGCATTGCACGTGTGCAGAAACCAGATTCGCTGTGACGGCAGTGCCCCTGCAGCCGTGCGATCGTCAGAGCCGCATGTTAATCCATAGTCCAACGCGTTCTGCCGACGTTGTGCCATAGCAGTGGCGCTGCTTATGCGCGGTGGAGAATAAACTTCACATCCCACAAACCTAGTTCCTGTACACATGAAGTGCCCACACCTGGTAGAGAGCAAAGTCTGTTTGTTGCAACATGTTGGCATGTATGGTTATATCCTAAACTTTGTCAAGTTTTTCAGCGAATTAGTTGGTGGAAATTCAAACCAACTGCATATGATGAGTTCACAGGTGACTCCTCAGAGACGTGCTTGGTGGTAAGGCAGCCCACTTTAGTGAGTACTCCTCTGGTGGGATTGAGAAAGCTGCCAGCCCTCACTAATGCTCTGGAACACCTTCCTGGTCGAAGTGACGCCGAGGAGACGCCTTTCGATGATCCTGTCTGCGCTGTAGGAACTCACGAGTTCCATCACACCCTGGCTCAAGTAGAAGCCAGCGTTGAAGAGCCCGTTCTGCAGAAGAAAGCGCTGAAGTCGGGAGAAAAACCGAGAAAAAAGCTCGACGCAGCTTTACACACTCCACCCTTTCTACCTCTGGTCTGGAAACCCTGCCAACATCGAAACATTACAATCCAATCCAATGTCCAATACGATTCATTACTGATCCTGCCTCTAAAAAACGGCATAGCCTAGGCCCTTTCATGTATTAACTTGACTGCCACTGCATCCAATGAAACAGGTCATATTTGCACCCATACTCCACAGGAAAGTAGACACTGCCAGTTTAGAGGTTCCTAATATCCAGGGTGTTTTACGGAACATTGGCCAAATCACTCCTCTGAAAAGTATGCCTTAACGGCAAAAAGTTTGATGTCATAGTCACATCAAATTTTCCTAAATAGGCCCAGGGGACTATTTAGGAAAGTTAATAAAGTTTGGTATAGCTGGGTTCCTAATTCCTTCTGAGTAATTAAAGTTTAATAAGTAAATTTTAAGGAATGGTTTTAATAGGAACTGTTTTGGGCATCACCGAAAACCACTAAATCGGTCAGAAGTGTGTCTGATCTTGTGCGCTGTGAAGCATTATCACTAAATCGGCACAATTTAGAAAAAACATAAGGCACCTTTTTTCTGTGCAATGAATACCTTTCGCAGGAGCGGTTTGGCCAGAAGTTTGAGAGTCTACGGGGAATAACAGTATATAACAGCTTAGAAAGTGATTTTAAGAAAATCTAAAGAAGTTTTCAAAAGGAATCAGACATAAAACCTATTGGCAAAGCAGGCAAAGGCACTGACCATGTGAAGCAACTAAGCTTCTTCTGGTTGTGAATTGCCAGAGGAACTGACAACGCTCAGTACAACAGGAGCACAAAGTGCAGCTATCACAAAGATTTGGGTGTTGGTACCTCTTCCGTTAGCGGAAATATTTTCCAACATTTGAGGTTCACTGGAGGTAGAGTATTCTCAAAAACCTTGTTACCAAAAGTCCATACCTGTTGTTGTGTATGGTCAAATATAAATTTGGGGGTTTATGCGCCGAACCAACGAAGGACATCTGGCACGTCCCAGCAGAGGACTAAGGATTAATTTGGAGCATTTAGGGATCCTTTGACATACACTGAAAGATCGGTAATACACAGCGCCTTTTCTGCAATAAGCCTCCGTCAGTTTGCAGACACTCGGACGGGATTCAAACCCGCCAACTGGGGATCCGTAGGCCGGTGCTTTGCCTTGAAGCCACCAAAGCAGCCCGGGTATGGTCGATACAACAGTTTGACAATATCATCTAACGTTGCTAAAAAAAGAAAAAGATATTCACAAGCATTGTTTTTATTTAAACCCATTTACAGTAAGTTCATGTGGCAACACTCAGCAAAAAATAAATTAAAGCTTCTGTCAAATTGATTTCGATTTTAAATCAAGGAGTGGCGTAGCGCTCTGGACTCGAAAAAAAAACAGCACTTACCCTAGACATTTACGGAGAACTCGAAAAGGCTCACCTTCTGAATCTTAAAGTGAAGCACATTCTCCAGGTAGCTCGGCAGTTCTGTGAGCAATGTGTAAAAGCTCCAGGCGCTACAGAACTTGATTAAGGCACACATCCACACAGGCTGCGACAGCAAAATCTCGATCCAAGGAACACTCTGCGGCACAACAGAGAAAGCACCATACCACTGCTATGGTTAGACTGTCTGACGACAATGGAGGATTACCTAATTATAGTCGTAAAGACTGGTTCACACATTTGCGTTTGACCGTGACAGACTGCATTGGGACTGTGCCCCCGGAACACTCCTGGTCTGCATTGATTTCCTAATTTTTACACATCACTCTTTCACCGTGCGCTTAAATTAATCAGGCAACGTTATAAGCAACCGTTTCTTGTAAACATTGTGCAGATCTGATCTCTCGGATACTGCAAAAGCTAAGGTCTAGTTACACTCAGATTGGAGGTGTTCGAGGGTCACTCGATATATGGCGCCAGTGCGCCAATGTGCGCTCTCGTCGTGACCAGTTACTAGACGTCGTAGTAATGCAGATTTCGCAAAATAAGGCCGCGGAAGTGTTGAACGGGATGCTATGAACTCTAAAACATCACTCAAACATGGATATCATGGATGGCCTTATTTTGCGAAAAAAAGGGTGCGATCAAGCGAGGAATATGATATCACGATTCTCCTTGAACAGTTGAGAATGAAGAGAAGCGGCCTCGCTTCTCTCCTCCTCGCTTCGGATCACCTGCTCGAAGGGACATAGCGAAGAGGAGAGGGGATGAGAATCGTGACGTCACATGTCTCGTTGTCCTCGTCGGCTGTGTTCAATCGCGCACTTCTTTTTCAGAAATACGACCATCCGTCAGAGATATTGCTGTATGAGTGCTGTTTTGGGGTTTTGCAGTGTCCAACCAATCGCTCCAGCATTGTTTTGTGAGCTCCAAATTTCGGTTCAGCATCCCTTTAAGGCACACGTCTCTCGAAAGCGCCAGTACTTTAGCGGACAATAAACCACTTGCTAAATCGCCAAGTGCCCCGGCCTACACTCGAGGAATCATGGGAATGGTGTTCCTTTAGTTCCCTAGTGATCGGTAATTTCCTCCAATTCAATGCTTACACACGTTTGAGTGTAATCCATGGTCATCCTGAATAAGTTTTAACGTAAGTCCAAAAACCAAGTCCCTGCACCCCGCACTTCCACCAAAAATATCACGAATAAAAAACATAAACTTGACTATTAAAACTTAAAATGAAGAAAATAGAGAAAGACTAGCGTCGTAGGCGCCGATGGCAGCTCAACAGCAGGATCGAGCGCTAGGGCGAGACTGACTGCGGCTTGCCATGTGGAGGAGGCCTTTTTGTACACACGTGGGCTTCTGGAACAATCGGCGTAGAAGGTTCAGTGCGGAGAACATTCTATCCTCGAATCAGCAACACAGTTCTCGAATTTACCAAAACATCACATTACAGAGTCATCAAAAATGTGTACCCGCGGCCAGGAATCGAACCTTGGCTTTTTGCGAGAAAGGCAAGTGCGATAACCGTTAAGCCACGAGCGCGCTGCCTACTTGGTCAGCTGCGCGCGCAGCATTATTCCCCCTTTAAAAAGCACATCGTTACGATGCAGCACAAAACAAAAACACAAATCCACAACAAAAGGACAGTAGAATCGCGAGCTACAGTTAGCAGTTCACTCTTTGACGAGAGCCCGAAGTTCTATCGTTCGTAATACGGTTTGAGTCGGACGACGTGTACCACCTCGGGTAGTGGCTGGTGTCTTGCAGATGGGCGCGTTCTGTCAGGAAGAACCTCGTAGTTCAGATCACCGAGGTGTCGGATGATCTTGTAGGGTTTGAAATAGCGTTTCAGAAGCTTTTCGCTGAGACCGCAGCGTTGTATTGGTGTCCACACCCAAACCCGGTCTCTGGGTTGAAAGTAGACGTTCCGGCGACGAAGGTAGTACAGGGTAACGTCGACCCATTGTTTATCTTAAATTCGGAGTCGGGCGAGCTGGCGAACTTTTTCGGCTTGTTGAGCAACCACCTGGCCGTCGGGGCTGCCATCGTCGGCTGCTTCGTGGGGTAACATCATGTAGAGTATGGTTGTTACTTTTCTGCCATGCACCAGCTGAAATGGGATTACTCTGGTGGTCTCTTGCACTGCCGTATTGTAAACAACGTGACGTAGGGTAACACCTCGTTCCAAGTCTTGTGCTCTACATCGACATACATAGAGATTATGTCGGCGATAGTTTTATTTAGATGTTCTGTTAGTCCATTTGCCTGCGGATGGTGCACAGTGGTTCGACGGTGGCCGGTGCCACTGAGACGAAGTATCTCTTGCGTCAGCTGGTCCATGAACGATGATATCTACGGTCTGTAATGAGGACTTCGGGGGCGCCGTGCCGGAGGACAATGGACTCGATGAAAAACTTGGTGACTTCAACAGCCGTACCTGATGGAAAAGCTTTCGTCTCGGCGTACTGTACGAGATAATCTGTGGTGACGATTATCCAGTGGTTTCCCAACATTGACAGCGGGAGAGGGCCAAGTAAATACATTCCGATCTGCTGGAATAGCGTGGATGGGGGAGCAATCGGATGCAGAAGTCCTGACGGCTTCGTTAGCGGTTTCTTGCATAAATGACACTCATGGCATGATTGAGTGTAGAGGTATACGGTCTTCGCTAGCCGTGGCCAGTGGTACTCTTCTTGAATCCTGGCGAGCGTCCTGCTGTAGCCAAGGTGTCCAGCCGTTGGGTCGTCATGGCATCCTTGCAAGGTTTGTTCTCGAAGGGTGGAAGGAATAACCAACAGCTATGCATGGTGAAGCTCTTCTGGAAGGCAGCATCAAACTGCTCCTTGAAAAAGGAATTGGCATCGCACGAGGCGTTACGGATCTCCAAGAAAAACGTACAACTGTTCTTGTGACAAACTTTCAAGAGGAGAAGCAGCACGTAACGAAGGGTACCACCGTGGGCCACGTCAAGGAGCTTGAGGCACCAGCCGTGGTCAACGCAATCGCTGAGGAAACCTTGTCGTCCTAGCAGAAGAGCACGTCGCCGCCACAACTCGACATCGACCCCAAGCTTCCAGCTCCTAAGCGACGGCAACTGGGCCGGCAACTGGTTAATCTCCTTGCTTAATACAGTGACTGTTTTGCCACGTCGCCGAAAGTTCACCAAACACCAATGGCGAAATGTCGCATTGTTACCGACGACAATGAGTTCTTTGTCCACCAGTCGCCGTATCGAGTCTCCTTAAAGAAAAGGAAGGTGATTCAAAATCAAGTCCAGGAAATGCTCGACGACGACATCAATCAACCCTCAAGAAGTCCGTAGGTGTCTCCAGTCCTTGTAAAGAAAGACGGAACCTTGAGGTTCTGTGTGGACTATCATCGACTGAACGCTGTGACCAAGAAGGACGTCTATCCGCTACCCCGCATCGACGATACGTTAGAATGATGCCACTCCCAATATTTTTCGTCAATAGACTTGAAGAGTGGTTACTGGCAGATTGAAGTCCCAGGAAGCTGACCCCTGTCAACGAGCCCAAAACACGTGCCAGCCACCACATCCCAGAACAGCCCCAAGTTTAGAATTTTACCCAAGAACTCGAAGACCAAGACGACAACGATGTCCCAGCAGAACCCGGCCGCCCCTTCCGTTATCTACCTGCCCGTCGCTCCTCAGACACCGGCTCCCTTCCATGGCGAAAGCCACGAAGACATCGACGACTGGGTCCAACAGTACAAACGAGTGGCCCGCCATAACGCGTGGACACGGAACAGTGTCTTCAGAATGTTTACTTCGCCTTGGAAGCAACCGCGCAGAACTGGTTCAAGAAGCATGAAGCATCCATCACCTCCTGGGAGCAACTCAGGGCTGAGTTACGAAGAACATTCACCAACCAACACCGAAGAGAATGCACCGAAGACCTTCTTCAAGCGAGGGTTCAAGGACCTAACGAGAGCGTCATTAGCTTTGTCAAAGATGTTCTTTGACTGAGCAGCTGTGCGGATCCTGACACCCCTGAAGCAAAGAAGCTGAAGGCTCTAATGCGAGGGGTGAACAAAACTATATTTGAAGGCCCTGTGCGGAACCCGCCCACGACCATCGAGGGTTTCATCACGAAAGCCACGTACATCAACTGTGCTCTGCAAGCCCGAGTCAGTCACTACCAGAGGCTACCCGGCGTCAGCGTGGTTCAGCAGTCCCCTTGCGACCTTGCCCAAGGCGTCCCGGGCATTTGTGAGCTTATTCGCGACATTGTTCAGGAGGAGCTTAACAAACTTCTGTTGACTGCTGAGCGCCAGGCTTCAATCTCCATTGCCGAGGTTGTTCGGGACGAGGTTCAGCGAGCGTTTCTGCTAAATGCCCCTGTCACCGTGGCCGCAGCTCATGAGCCGACACTGTCCTACGCTGCAGTGGCCCGACGATTGCCGCCAGCTGCTCAACATTACCCGGTGGCGCCACGACGAGACTCACCAACGCAGGCGTACCCCCCTTCATAACGACGAATGACGTCAGTATGACCGCCGAGACCAACCGGCGCCAGGGACAACCGAAGTGTGGAGAACAGCGGACGACAACCCATCTGATATCACTGTGGTGAAGCCGACCACATTTACCGTCGATGCCCCTACCAACAACTGGGGCTGCGTGGGTTCCACCTGAACGACCCACGCCTCAGGTAAGGAATGCCTTCGCGACATCGAGGAGTACCTCCAACACTCGCCCTCTTCAGCGCCATCTCTCCACCATGGAGCCCGCTCCCCATTGCCACGATGCTCAGGGTACCCAGCACCTCCATCGAAATGTCACGAATGAAAATTGATGAGGCGACCACAACTGAAGCAAACTAAACGTTTAATAAAGTGAACTTGAGTTCAAAAGAAAATCGAAAAAAAGATGAGACGTTTACAACTTCCCGTATCGCCGATTTAGAGAGCAACTCTTGAGAAGGAGGAGGGGAGGGTACTGAGGGGAGAATATCAACACCTCCTAGAAGAGAAGGCCGTAGCGCTCAGAGTGGGCACGTCACAATGGTGGAGGAAGGAAGGCCATGGCGCAACTACGCGAGAAAATGCCGCTGTCGACGCGTATCGGCGCATTAATGTTCGTGCGCCTTTATCCGACATTAATACACGTTT